ATATACACACTGGTGTTGTCAACATTGTTGGATGTCCAGTGTACACTAAACCTTTTTTGGGACTCTGCAATTTAGCCTCAACCTCGTAAACAAGAGCAAAAAGAAAATCAACTTTACCAATAATTTTCTTCGAGACTTCTATACGACTGGAACTCTTCCATTAGCCTGCTGCATGGTCCCTATAGGGTTTCCTGCAAAACCATAAAATTCATTACTTATGGAAGTTAATTCAGAGGGCTTACACCTATTACCAGAGGAAACATTATTGTTAGTTTTAAAAGATAGATACCAATCGAGAGAGAGAGAGAGAGAGAGAGAGAGAGAGAGAGAGAGAGAGAGAGAGAGAGAGAGAGAGAGAGAGAGAGCAATCCCAACAGGGGTAAAAATAAAGCAGAACCTAGAGCAGGTGCATAAAATTAAGCGATCCATTTAAAAAAAATTAAAATCGAGATTTTAATCTTAGTCAAAGTCAACAATTAATTTCAACTATATATTTTATGGATCCCACAACTTTTCCACTACACATTTCATCAACTACTATCAAAATCTGACTTTAATCCTCACTAAATAGAGACTAAATCTGAAGAGACACATAGCTGCTATTAAAATTTCTAAAACATATATAAAAATTAAAGGTTAATCCATGCTGGGTGAAGGTGGGGTGGGGTGGGGTGGGGTGGGGCGGGGCAGAAGAAGAAGATAGTTCTTTTTTTTTTAATTTAATTTAATTTAATTTATTTTTTTTGTTTTTGATTTACATTTTCTATTATTTTACGGGAAAAATATTAAACGGGGGTATGACGAGATGAGCCACTCAGAACATCAATTGCAAATCCCCTGCATTGCTAGATTACTAGTTGTTGCCTACCACTGAATTAACGACAATCTTCCCAAGTTGTCCAACGGTCTAATTAGCATTTCAAGACGGAATAGCTAACGCCTAAGAGAGGGAATTACTAACCTGTTCTGCCCGCAAAAGAATAAGAGTTTGGAATGTAATTGCTTATATTTCCAATGGAAGTGTGAGGTTCTAGGGTATTATTCACAGGAAAGGGAGATGAAATGTTTGCGGCTGGAACAAATCCTTGTGATTTGCCCATGTACAATTCTGAATTGCCTGCTGGAATCTGATCGAGTGTTTGCCCAAGATGCAAAGAATGTTCTTCTCTCTGTTCCATCACAAAAAGTAGTTTTAGCTACGATAAAGTGGTGAAAATGATTTTGTATCGCAATAACAGCCAGTTCAAGCCACAGCACAACAATGTTTAGGAGTGCGTGATGATAGCTGACATACATAATAGCTCATTATGTGAGTTGACAACCACATCCATAAGTAGAAACTAAGCACGTCGCCCAGTAGTAAATCAGAATGAATAATTTTTCCAAATATTTTTAGTAGGATAAAACACATTTAGAGCCTGTTTGGAAGTGATTTTGAGAATTGATTTTTTGACCGTTGGAAGAAAGTGGAGTCCACCTGTGAGAGAAGAAGTCAAATATGACGGCTGGAATGGTGAAAGAACGGTCAAAAAATCAATTTTTTGGGGCAAAAAAGCGCTCCCAAACAAGCTGCTAGTGTTACAGCTAAAGAAATGAGAAAACCCTTGCAGGAAAGTGGTAGCAATATTTTTCTAATTGAATTTGACTTGATTATAGAACAAGAATCTTTAGATTTACTAGAAACTCCATCCAGGATGACTGCCTTAGCAAACTGGATTTTAATTTGAAGATATCCAACTTATGGTAACTTCTCAGTCCAAAGCTCGACTATATTTTCGGTTTCCATTTCGTAGCATGTTCACATGAAGAGGTAGAAAGCAAGATTATAAATAATACACGGATGATATCTATTTACTACACTTTCTAACTATATGTGAAGAACATAAAATTTTGCATCCTATAACATGAAGAAGTTTTACATATAGTGGTACAGGTCCTACTGTGAGCCACTGTAATTCTCTGAGGCTTCCCGGTCTTCCTTGTTAATTAGGCATGCTTCAAGTTACTAACACATAGAAACAAAAGAAAATTAACGCACTCATGATTCAGGTAAGAGTTTTGATTTGATGAGAACATAAGAGTGATGCATAAATTTGAAGAAAGGTAACAATTAGCCTTGAACTGTCAGCATATATGAAAGTTTTAGCACGAGATTTAAGAATATATGAGTGGCAGAACTTGACCTGCTGATTCTTAACTTTTCCACGGTAAAGGTAGCTGGGAGACGAAGGCTGTGTTTGCTCCGAATTGACTTGTAAGCCTTCTGAAGTGAAATATTCACTGCTTTGTTCCTTCCTCGATTCCGCATAAAACATGTGACTAATAATGCTTCGGAGATAATGGTTTCTTTGAGAATAGTACATTTTAGTTGCAATGGGAGCAGGAACATCTGAGATTGCTACACCAAGATTACTACGATCAAAAGTAATTCATAAAGCCCAAGCGTAGAATCAGTATTGACTAGCAAGGTTAAAGTGAAACCCCCTCCAAAACCCAAAGGCACGTTTGGGCTCTCTGAACACGACGTCAAGTTAGTTCAGTTAAAAGCATATGCAACTATGACTTTCCAAAACCATTAAAATGAATAAATAAATCTACATTTTTTTCACCATAGACCATTGGCCAGAACCATAGAGAGGTACCTTTGGTTACTAAACTTTCATAGATTTCATCTGAGGTTTGATTTCGAATGGCAACTTTAGATATCTTCTCACTCCTTCCACTTGATCTAGTTGGAATATCTCGACCTAAACCATGTAAGTGCAGCAGTTATGCTTCGGCAACATGAAACAAAGACATTTTCTGTGAGGAGCTGAACAAACGAGATATGAGATACCCAAAACTTTGAACAATCTAGCTTCCGTCCATGGCATATAGGAGGTCAATAGAAAGCAAGATGCAAATGCTTACCAGATATATATGTTCTAAGTGTGCGTGCACACCTGCTCATGTGTTTCGTTGCCCAATATTTAAAGTTTAATGTCACTACCTTGGATCTATTTTCTATTATCCTGCTAGTAAAAGAACACACGTTGACCATTTGGAGGAGACGAGAACACAAAAGCTTACCTCAATATGCATAAATAGGGAGAATAAGAATCCATTAGATATTTTAGAAATACACAAGGAGTCAGTATTGGCTGAATCTTTGTGTTGATCCCATCAAGTCCGTTGATAAATGTACTTGAAGCTATTTTGCATCACAGCGTAGAAGAGGGAAAAGGGAAAACGAAGAGCATTCTTCAATGAATCCTAACCTACTTATGCATGAGATCGGTAGACACTGAACAAGGAAATTGCATATTTAAATCATGCTTTGGTGATATCACATTCACAACCATTTAGCTGCAGAAAGGTACTCTCTAAAAAGGGTATTACTATTTATAAACGAACAAATTCTAATCACGCTTAGGTCATATTTAATATTTCGGGCCGTTTAGCTGCAGAAAGGTACTATCTCAAAAGAGTGTTACTATTTACTAATTACCATAAAAGAAGTCCTCCAAAGTTACTCCCATACTAGTGAATTGAGAGTACAAGGAAAGTTTTAAACATCAATAATCTATGTTCTAAACATAATTTTGTATGTAATTTAAACTAGGGAACGAAAGATAATTAATTACCATTCTAACTCTAGCTTCATCTTGAAGAGTCGGAAAAAAAATTTTGCTTGCTTCTTTTGAATTAATGATAGAATCAGGTCAAAATTTAAGATGATAAAGAGATCAAAACTGCTTTCAGCAGACCTATTGGAGAAAAGGAAACTCGGAGCTTTCAAGTGAGCGGGACTTTTTTATTGAACATTTAGCTGCATTCAAGATTTTTAAATTGGGAATTATTTTTTTAATTTAATCTAATGTTTGCACTTTTTCAGAGGTTCCTGAGGTATCCCAACCAATGCTACCTTCAAAGAAAACAGAACCTCCATGCCCATCATAACAAAGAGGGAAGTAAACATTCCTATTGCACGAATTACTATAAATTTGTGCAAAAACATACTAATGTAAAACGAATGGAAGGGACTTACATTGAAGGACCTCTTCAGATGTTATACATGGAGACTTGGCATCTGGACATGATTGACTCTCAACTACAGTCCTACAAGATAAAAATATATTGTGCATGAAACCTGATGGATAGGGAATCCTCCACAGCTGGCAAATACTTGTACTCGAGATATTTGCTCTGTATCAATGGAAGAGCCTCCCAGTATTATAATTCTCATGGTGCAGTTGTATCATTTCTCGTGGTTGCTTATGTTTATATTCAATACCATATAAGGAAGCACATACTCAGGGAAAGAAATAAAGAGGAAAATTCAAATTGTGTGTGTATGTGTGTCAAAGTAAAATGATCAACCCTGAACAAATCATAATTTCAAATTTTTCCCCAAGGAATTGCATCATGCATATGCCACTAGAAAATTTGATAAGCAAAAGTAAATTTCAGGCAAACTACTAGCAGAAACATCCTACCATCCAATTTTGCAACAAGTTAAATTGGTAGCTGCCATAATATAATGGGCAGCAGAAGAAAAGAAAAGGCATACAAAACGATGCTGTTGATTTTAAAGATGTGTAAATATATCATGCTAAAAAATTTATGGAATGTTTCATTGGACAACATCAAAGATAAAGAAGCATCATGCTCCACATACCTTTTGACACGCTTAGTTGGACTGGGTATCACAGTTTCTGAACGCTCCATATTAACAGGATTAACTTTCAAACTATTTATTCTTGGTGTCTCATTCCCACACTTTGTATTTCCTACAATGCAGATTGTGCACATCTCTTCAAAAGATTTGATTTTCTGGATATTCACAAAAATGTAACATATTGTATGTCTAATAAAGCATAGACTTCCATTTGGAATATCTATTCACGACAATAATTAGTAGAATAACAATTCATGAATCGAGACCAAAAGCACATGCAGTACAGCGAAAAATGGAACAGAGAGAGTTAAACATAATTTTCGTTTTTTAGGTGGCAATATATGTGTGTCGGAGAGAGAGAGCACTATACGTTTAGCTTCAGCTAAGGAAATCATTTGAAGCTCTTCATCGAAATGTGATTCTGGTGCAGTCATAATGTCAGAATCTAGAGATTCAAACTTTTCTTGTTCCCGGACAGTTGTAGCTTGGTCTACACGAGGTTAAGAACAATAACTTTTTTTCCAGTAATAAAAGGAGTTCCACATAGTCAAAGTGATCTACCGATCATAATTTTAAGACAATCAGTACAATTAACCACTTTTTTCTTGTGATACATGATAAGTCTAATTTTGGTTCATGGACTATGTCTGATAAAAGATGTAATGCTGACCAATAATGTGGTAGAATTTCAAACATATAGGATAAAGCAAGAGAATTGATCAAATTCTTGATGGGAAAAAGGATACTAGCTTGAGCAACCAGTAGCTTTTTTCTGTCCTTACGTGGAAGTTTCTTTTGCCCAGAAGCGCCGTCAACTTCTGAAACGATTTCTTCTTTGAAATTTAGAGACTTACAAAGTTCTGCAGATATAAGAGAAGGAACAACTTAAAAAGATGAGTGAACGGTGCATTTAAGTGGAGCACCACCCTCTTAGAGTCTTCGTAATATTACTCCTGCAACTGCCACAGAGTAATCCAATAATGTTTATTACTACAATTCTATTCCCCACTTATTAGCTTAAACAATGATGTTTCTATCAACACGTATGGATCAAGTATTGATTTTCGACATAAAATTTCTCCCCTTACTAGGTGTATGCGTAAATTACTTAGTTTTACACTGGATTAGTCTACTACCTTATTTAACTCTCCAGTAAGCTGCTGTGATAGAAGATACGAGTTGGAAATTCAAATTAGTTAAAAAAAAATACTTTTATCACACAGATATAGATGCAAATAATAGGAAAAATGCTCCCATTTGCAGTACACTTTCCAAATACTAGTGTTTAAACCCCAGAGTACAGAACATGTAAAGTGCACGTCCTGTATTATTTAAGTATTATATCCATCTTTAAAAGAGATTTTCATTTTTTAAATTCCATTGGAAACCCAAGTTCTTTTTTTTTTTTTTAAATAATAATAATAAATAAATCATTAATTTATTAGTGTCACGTGCTCCATGAGAACTATACCAAACTACAGTTTGATAGTTGGTTAATAGTAGGTTTAAACATATAATATTTTCAAATAACATATTTAAAAGGTTAGAAGACAAATTAATAGTTAATATAGTGACATGTATAAAAAATAACTTGTGAAGAAGCCATAATTTTTTGCCAAACTCCTCATTTACATTCATATTATAATCGAACACAATCAGATATCTTCTGCCAGCAGGAGGTTGGGACTCATTTCTTTCTGACCCTTCTCCTACGTTTGGCCAAATTCTTTATCACGACTTTCTGAGAAATTTTCATATGCACGGGTACATACTAAAAATATCCTATCACATATTTTAATATTGAAAATTTCTTCCATTATTTAAATTTATAAACTCAATTTTTGAACTCTTTTCTTGCCATTTATCTTTATCCTTTTCTTTATCCCATATCAGCACATCCAAGGAACATTTAGACCTTCAGTCATCATCACAATTTGATTTATATATAAGATGACTTGGTGGAGCACAATTTGGTTTATCCAAGAATTGAAGCAATGGGTTCCCTATTTTCTTTGACGTACTTTCTAATTTCTTACCAAATGATAAAAAAAAAAGGGTCTGCAACTGACCAATGCAAAGCCAAAATTGGCATGCAACAAAAGAAATCTCAAGATGCATAAGTTTTGGAGAGCAAAAATGAATTGAACCTGAGTGTGCAGCGTAATGACTGGACTTAATTGGCTTCTTACAAGCATTGCAGCATACCTTCAAAATACGTTAAGCAGCCATTTCACTAATTTGTGAGTGTACACTAGAAATGAAGATCTAAGACATTATTCACACGGAATTTGCCATCAGTCACACCTATTTATCTCTAGCAAAAAGTATAGCGCAGGCAAAGTTTTATTAACAAAAAATTCAAGAATATACACGTGATTAAGGAAAAGGAAGAAATTCATATGTGCCCAAAACCATCTCAGTCAGTCTTCATGCAGTTCACTTCCAATGCATATAAAGCACGAAATCCATACTCTGTTGGCAAAAATTTTGTAAAATTCTGATCTGATGGATTTAACCTACAGTGGGAACCAAGTATAGCGTGTTCCAAAGAAATTTATTTTACGTTTCTCAATCTTAAATTCACACATTAAAAAGAATCTTCAACTTCCAACATGAGAAAATCATTATATTACATGTATATGTAGCTTCAAGAAGCTGAACAAACTTTCATAAAAATCATGCTTATTGTTTTGAAACCGAACAAGGGAATTAGCAAGTGGAAAGATTTATTAAAAAAATTAAGTTTTCTCTAAATTTTCGTTATTATTTTTTCATCCTAATGTTTTTCATTTATTCAAGGTATTAAATTATACGTATTGGAGTGAATTTAATAATTTCCTTCATATGAAAAACAGAGGAATAAAATTGTGATGTAAATAATTACTAATTCAGGTTTTCCCAAACCTTACCAAATATAAAGGATCTGCCATGGGTCTCAAACCAAACACGTGCATATCTACATGAGAATATCATCAACAAGAAACTAAGAAATTAGAACTCAATTTGTATAAAAGAGGCAGGAATCTTTACTTCAAGAATTGTTTATGGTAGAGTATATAAGTGGAAGAAACATATTGCAGGCTTCAAAATCACTGGTAAAATAATCTTTAGGTGTGTTCAAAGAGTTGAATCATGATTTAATATCAATGTTATACAGCACATTGGACCCACATTTACAGGAAATTGTTTCAGTATAATGTTTGAAACATGTCCATAGCAAACTACAGTGTAGGGACCTATGGCTCAAACTTGGATACGGGTGTTGGGTACGAGTATATATCTAGGAGTAGGATCCTTTTTCTTTTAAAACTTAGAATATGGGGATACAGCTTAAAAGATCCAAAATTTGGATATGGCCACATGGATACGCCTTACAAACATAAATTTCTTTAGAATATTATATACTAATAGTTTTAGATGTATCTTTTGGGAGTGTAACATTAAATGGGCTTGGTTTCATGCCTTAAAAGTCTTGGTTTTATGCCTCAAAATCGATTTTATTGCTTTAAAAATCATGGGTCCACTCTTTATCTCCATCAAACTTCTGCTTTCCCATATGACATTCTCCCTTCCACGTTTCTGCCATGTCCACTTTTAAGTTGAAGGACCCAACACGGATCTATACCACACCTGTGTTGTCTCGTGTTGTATCATATCGTGTCAAACATGAGTACGTCGTCCAATCTGAAGAGTCCAATCATCATAGGTTAGGACTCCCTTCTTCTCAAGTTTCGGGGCAATCTTAAAAGGTATCAAAAATCTCAAATTCAAATTCATCACTGTTATGCATGTGAGTACTAGGGTGTTATTTTTACCTCTCAATTTTATATTTTGACTTCTACTTATCTTGGAAAAAGATTTAAACTCCATTTAGGATTTTTATTTTCGCTTCTTTTTCTATCTCTTATAACTTTGTTGTTACTTCCTAAACAATGTTGCATTTTCTTACTTTTCTTCCTCCTGATTCTAATTCAGTATAACACATATAGACAACAATTACAATTTACACCATTACAAATCCCTTTCTCTTTGTTCTGCAAGGACTGAGAGCAAACATACCTTCTTCATCGATCAAATTTGCTTCATCTGCCTCACGTAATTCTCTGTGCAGGTATTTTGCAGTTAATTTCTGGCGATCTATGTCCTCTGGAGAAAGAGAATAGTAAACAATAAGATATTAGTCGTTAAATGGCCAAACAAATCAAGTCCAATATATAGAAGTACATAATAGAAAAATTAATTGAACTGCAATATAAGACGTTGTACAAGCTACAAAGCTTGCTAAAGTTGTAGTTTCTACTGCTGTCATGTATTTGACAAGTTAGCAGTAAACACATTGAAAGGTTTCCACATAATAAATGGCTAGATAAATATATCCAGTTTTTCTAGAATATATAAGTGTAGGTAGACGGAGATATAACAGGGACTCAAGTCCTCAGGAAACAGATTGTTCCACAGCTAAATCATAACAACAAGATTTCAATCTGCTGTGCAAATGCTTGGTTAAAGCACAAGGAGAAATCAAATATATAACAGTTCTTCTAATTTTGCTCGACTTGGCTCATGACACCCACTCTGACACAAAAGTATCCTACAACTCTGAATTCAAGCTGAAGTTTTGTTTAATCACACATACTACTGGTCATTTCCATCAAAAGCCCCTGTCAGGTATATTCTCAAAAAATTCACCAGAAGGCCATATCACAAATACAAAACCATATTGTCTTATCACCAAGAAAAGACACATAAAACAAACCAATTTCTAATCACATAAATCATCAGCCTCTAATGACTGTCTTCAACAAGTAGTAAAATAGACAACATTTTTTAAACAAATCTAATAAAGTAGCAAATTTGATAATTAATGCACTAGTTTACCTGCAACAGTTTGCGAGACGCTTCCATCTGCAAGAAGCCTCGCCAAGGCTGCCATTCTCCCACTTTTGAGAGAGCATACCATAAAAAATAGGACCAAGTGTATACCTAGACAACGATTGCAATAATATGTACATATCTTGAGGTGACAAGAAATATGCTTTGTTTAATGTTGCAGAAATTGGAATCAAAACAAATCTACCACACCAAATATAGGCAACATAAAAAAATTACATATTAGTTGCACAACTAGACAGCAATCATGTAAATTCCATCAAAGACACTAATCAATAACTTGAAGAGATTTTTAGTGTTATCGAAATCTCGTAAAAGAGTAAACAAGAAATTCACAAACAGAATGGCATTATGATGGAACCAAACTGCTAGCAAAATAAACTTGCATAGAAATGCAATATTGCCGCACGCAAATCACTAGATAAAGTGAAAATGAATTTCTGATTAAATCGTGCAAGAAATTGCTGCCTGAGAATCCAATAGCAGCATGATTACCGGCAAATTTCATGCTAAGGAAAAGATAAAAGGATTGACCTTATAGACAATCAAGACAAACAGGGCTTTTTGCATTTTACTACAGCTATTAGATTCATAACCGTTCCATGTATTAGTTAGAGGAGAGTAAGAATTCTTCATTGGGCACATATTAGAATCTATTTTTACACAGGCTATACCTAAAATGGTTACTCAAATCAAGAGGAAAAAGATAAATCTAGAGCATGACATGTGATACGAGAAGAATGTAAATAGAACTTGAAATAATTCTAGGAAAACCTAGAGCATTCATGGATATTATTCTCCAGCAGCTCGTAATTAGAACTTGATTGACAACAAATTCGTAAAAATTCTGAAAAAATGAATAAATTTCCAACATTTAAAACAGCATTTGCCTCCCATATTTCTTTTCATCTTTTTACGACACAAATTTCCCAAGTCAGAAAGAGGACAACCTTCCGAAGCACAATGTACTTCAGAAAAATCTCGCATTTCACCCATGCATCATCTTTCCGACATTATCATGACAATTCATAATCATAAGAAGTACCACCGATGCATTTAACATATCAAATAATTACAGAGCTCACGCGTGTAAAGTTGTTCCGCATTTTCAGAAATGCAAAAATGAAATTAGAAACCAAGATAGAATTACCTGTAAGCCTGTAACTTGAATTTTCTGATCGCGAGGAAATTAAAATTAGCTTGAATTTTCAGGAAATTTGGTAACGAAATGTAAAATAACTATGAAATTTGTGCTTCATTTAGAAGTTCGAATGATCGGGAAAATGCAAATTAATGTTTGAGAGGAAAAATTAATTTAAGAGCCCTAGACATGACAGAAATTTATGATTGGGGAATTTATTTTTATCTCTCTCTAGAAAAATTAGAGACTAAAATCTCTTCTTCTTGTTTTTGGCTGTACGCAGAGACAGAGGGGGAGGGCGGCGTGGGGTGGGGTGGCGTGGTGTGGGGGTGGATTGGGGGTTTAAATAAAGTATCGAAACGTTGGGTTGTATTAAATTGTCGCAATTTACTGATATATTTGTTAGGCCTTTTTGACCCACTTTTTTAAAAAATATATATATTCTTACATTGTAATTTGACATCATTTTAATTACATATTTTTTAATAAAATAATATTACACATAAATTCAAAATTTTTTATCATTTTTAATAACATATTTCCTATCAATACACTATTAAAAATACATTCTTATAAAAATAATGTGGTTCAAACAAGGGCTTAATATATGATTCCAGTTTGGTAAGAATTATAATCAAATTTATTAGTAAATTTTGATAAAAATTGATGAAAGATGTGGTTAAAAATTTACGAATCCTATAAAATATGTAATTAAAATTAATTATTTATTTTAATTAAAATTAAAATCTATTCTAGTCTTTACCAAATAAGGGCTTAATTGGATCAAAATGTCATCTATAATAATAATAAAAATCCTCACTTTTATTTATTAACATATGATATCGTGAGATTTAATTGAATCAAAATCTCATTAATTAAATTTCAAAAAAAAAAAAAAAAGACTCCACAATTTTTATCGCCTCATTTATAAAAGGATTTATAGAAAATGATGATGTACAACAAGCATTTTTCTAAAACTTTTGAATAATGTTGTTTAGCACAGATTTATGTCAATTTTGCTACTTGTACATAAAAATGATACATAAGAAATTACATAAAAAGATGTAAATGGAACATGTTGGATAAAAAAGTTGACTATATTTTAAATTGACAAATAATAGAATGACATGTAGTATTATGTAACTCAATACGTAAAATTTGATGGACATGTAGCAATGTCCTTAATTTAATTTTACATTTCATTTGATGACACTTACTGTCATCTAAACAGGTGTTGTAATTTTAATAGTGCTAAATAGCACTCCAAACTTTTAGTGAAACTACATTTTGATCACTAAAGTTCATTCTAGTTACGTTGCTATATTATTTAAGGATTAGGCTTTGCACGATATTAAATACTATAAAATTACTATAATAGTATTAATATTATGATGAATTACTAAGCTTTTTGCTACAATTTGATGGATCTATCAATAGCTTTTAGTTTTACGTGACACCGTTAATATATATGTCTGTGTGTGACTACCAACATTTTGACCTCCTTGTATGTCCATGTTTGATTTTGATTAAAATTTTATATTAATTTAAGAGAAAGTCAAACAATTAATATTAATCACATCTTTCATAAATCTCACAACTTTTCAACCCCACATTTCAAATATTTTATCATAATCTACTAAAAAATCTAATTTTAACCTTCACCAAACATTGTGTATATATGTTCAAGGACTAACAAATTGGATCGAGTCAAGTCACTCGACTATAATTTACAAATTTAGTAAGGAAGCCTCCATGGGTGGACAAAGGTGAGATCAAAACATTTGCTTGCGTATCACAGCTATAAATTTCTTTTAAAAGATGTTTGTATAAAAAAGTAAAATAAGTCTCTCTTCATTTTTCAAAAAATTACTTTTACTCTTTTTATTTACTATTTTAAACCGAAAATTCATTAGAAAAATCTCTATTAAACAAGCTCTAAACATTTTTTCCCCCAAAAAGTAACTATTCTCTTATTATTAAAATAAGTACTTTACTTGTTCTTTTTTTTTTCCCCCCTTTTTTTATGATGGGGGCATTACACGATAATATGGTCCATAAGGGATTCAAGAATCAGACAATAAATGTAAGACATAATTTGCCAATTTTGGAAGGACCTCTTCGAATAAGTCAGGTTAAAAAATTGCCTCAAAAAGTAAGTGAGATTTTTTATGTGGTCATTGTACAGTAAGATAAGAGAACTATGTGGGGTTAACAAAATAATTTTGGGCAGATTTTTTGTCCGTTTCTAGATAAGTTTGAAAAAAGATCCATGCAATTTCAAGTTATTATTTCAAAACTAGCATACATTTAATATTTTTTTATGAGGCCCGTGTTGAAATTTATTTGTAATCATGCTAAAAATCAAGAATCGTCAAATAATAAATTAATAAAACGAATTCATACATGCGAAAGACATTGTTGATATAAATAATAGCTGTAACAGCAGTCAAGATCCTTCCCTCCTTGCTCCTCACAAAATATCAGCAATCAATGGGGCAAGCTAATGAAAATACAATATGGAGAGGAGAAGGGACCTAACCTTTATATAGGAATTTCTTTAGTCGTCCCATTATCGACTCAAACTCTAATTAGGGTTTACGCACAATTCCGGCCCACATACTTTGAAAATACCACATTATATCAAATAAAACCCATAAGGTTTAAAACTGTTCAAATTGATCACTTAACATAATTGGCCTAATCATAATGTTATTGTGAGCCATAAATCTAACCCGTAAAATTTATAATCGAATGTGAAGCCCATTTATGGAATTATTCCAACATTCTCCCACTTGAGCAAACATTTGATTACTATAACAAATTTTTCAACACCCGAGTTAGACTACATAGGTGGCTGCAAAAGTATAGCTCCAATGATAACACCTTACGTAATATAATTCGGTCCAACAAGAATATCAACACCGAACATGAAAGTCATTACACCAATTAAACGATGTAAGATCATTCCACGGCTATAAATGCCAACATATTTATCGACATGGATCCCCATCCTCCAACCAATGCTGTAGTATGTGGCATGAACTTAGCATCAAATTTAATAAAAAACTGTGATAATTCATATCGGTCATCATAATGCTTCGGATCAAAATGAAGTCATTTGTCTCTAAAAGAGACTTATCTTATGTCTTTTTTGCATGTCTCGAGATTACAATAATATTATAATAAAAGATATAAGTCAAATGCATGCTCAAAATAGTTTATGGATAGGGAAAAAATATTTTATTATCAGAAGGGGCTATATCCGAAAACATATGGGTTGCTTATGTACTCCGTAAAAGGATCAAGCTCAAAACGTAGTCTTATATATATATATATATATATAAAACTCCCACTAACTAAAAATATCAAATGTTTTTACAATGCCCATATTAGTAACATATGTCTTAAAAACTTTTGGAGTGAGTCCCTTAGTTAAAGGGTCTGCAATCATTACCTCTATATTGATATGCTCTATTTTCGTCTGCCCTTCCTTGACTTTGTCTCTAACCACCAAATATTTTATGTCAATATGTTTTGACCTACCAGAGCTTTTAATATTTTTTGAAAAGAATACTGCTGCACTGTTATCACAATATACGGTGATTGGTCTTGAGATGGAGTCAACAACTTTCAAACCTTAGATGAAATTTTTTAACCAAGTGGCTTGGACTGTAGCCCTGTAACATGCCACAAATTCAGCTTGCATAGTAGAAAATGCTACTAGAGTCTGTTTAGCACTTTTCCAAGAGATAGCACCACCAACTAATGTAAAAAATATAAACTGAGGTTAATTTCAAATCATCTTAACATCCAACAAAATCAGAATCTGAATATCCTACCGCCTCAAGATGATTTGAACGCTGGAATGTAAGCTATAGCTTTCAGTTTTCTTCAAATATCTCATAACTTTCTAAGCTGCTTTCCAATGCTCTTGTTCTGGATTAGAATGAAATCTGCTAAGGACACCGACTGCATAGGCTATATCCGGTCTAGTGCAAACTTGATCATACATCAAGCTCCCCACAACACTAGCATATGGAATAATCTTCATAGATTCCCTTTTCAGTTCATTCCTTGAACATTGAGTTTTGTTAAACTTATCCCCTTTTATGATAGGTACATTATCAGGTGCACAGTTCTACATATTGAACATTTATAGGACACGTCGTATATAAGCTTTCTAAGAAAGTCCCAATAAGCTACGATTTCTATCACAATGTATTTCAATGCCAAGTACATATGAAGCTTCTCCAAGATCTTTCATCTCAAAATTAGCAGACAATATTTTCTTTGTGTCATGAAGCAACCCTAAGTTACTGCTAGCAAGCAGAATGTTATCAACATACGGTACAAGAAAAATAAAATTTCTTCCACTGATTTTAAGATAAATGCATTGATCAACATATTTTCAACAAAACTAAGAGAGGTCACAATCTCATCAAACTTTAAATACCACTGTCGAGATGTTTGTTTGAGACCATATAAGGATTTATTTAACTTACATACCAAGTTTTCTTTTCCTTTCACAATAAAGCCTTTAGGTTGTTTCATATAAATCATTTTAGAAAGATCTCCATTCAAAAATGTTGTCTTAACATCCATTTGATGAAGCTCCAAATCGTAGTGTGTCACAAGAGCCATGATATTTTGAAAGAATCTTTCGACGAAATAGGGGAGAATGTTTCCACATAATCAATGCCCTCTTATTGAGTGAAACCTTTTGCAACTAATTTTGCTTTCTTTCGTTCAGCATTTCCTTTTGAATCTAATTTACTTTTAAAAATCCACTTGTTATTTACAGCCTTAGCATCTGGAGAAAGTTCAACAAGATCCAAAACTTTATTCCTTTCCATAGAATTCATTTCATCTTCCATAACAGCTATCCATTTATCTACCTTAGGATTTGTCAATGTTTGGTTATAAGTTACAAAATTAACAATATGCCCAATATTAAAATCGCTCTCCAATAAATATGTAATCTAATCACTGGGTAATGCAGATCTTCTTTCCTTCTGTTATCTCCTAACTTGTGGCTCAGAAACCGATTCAATCGTTGTTTGAGGAATTGGATGTTCCTCTTGGTTTCTCGATTCTTCATTAACAACTTCAATTGGTTGAGAACCAACTCTTTCCTGTATAACAGGAACTGAAACAACAACTTGATTATGTTCAACAAGAATTTCTCTCATCGTGGAACTCCCACCATCTCTAAAATATTCTCCAGAAACCTAGCAGTAATGGACTCCACAATTCTAGTGCCGCGATTTGGTCAGTAAAATTTGTATCCTTTTGATCTGTCC